TAACATTTCAAATATTAATTCAATTTTAATACAATAAAATTGTAATATAAGAAAAATTAGATTTATTCATTCAATTGATGAAACTTTAGCATAAGAATGAATTATATTTTATACAAGACATGGAAATTTGATAATAAGACTTCAGTATTTAATTTTTTTATATTTTATGTACCATAAAAAATAATAATAACAATATGTCAAATATTACGAAGTTTTATACATTTTAATATTTATGATCTAGAAGTATAGTTTAATATTATTGTGTAAAATTATTTGTAAGAGTTCAATCATAATAGTTTAATTAAAAGAACTAAAAAAATGGGGGAAACTTGAAAAAAATAATTTATTTTTTATTTTTTTAAATTTTTTTTGGGCCAACCCGTCGGGTTGGCTATTACAAAAAAATAGCAACCCGGCCTGATCAGGGGTTGCTGGCGGGTTGGGTTCAACCTGGCCCGCCATATTGGCGGTCCGGGTTGCACCCTCTTCATTGCGGGCCGGGTTAGGGTTGACCTGCCTAATGCGGCCCATTTGTTCCACCTCTAGGCAGAATCAACATCTACCTAGATGCACGATCACTTAAGCAATTTATGGTCTTGCTTAGGCGATTCTTCGCTTTTACCTTTGGTCACTTAAGCGATTTGGTATTGCTTAAGCGATCAAGTCCATGGCAGAATAAAGATCTGCCCAGATGCACGATCGCTTAAGCGATCCTTTATAGGAAACCCTTGGTCGCTTAAGCGATAGTCGCTTATATATCGCTTAAGCGATCATGGGCAATGCATATTTTTGCTAGCTTTTCTCCTGAATTTTGACAAACTAAAATCACCAACACATATTAATTCCATATTTTCTCCTTAATTTGACAACCTAATTGCATCAACACATCATTGTCATGTAACAAGAATACTAAATAAACTCAAACTCAAAAGAGGGAAATAAATACTAAATTGCCTTTGTACAAATCTAAAATGTGTCAATTACATTAAATTACAACATTATATACAACAAATAAATGTCCTATATACACCCAAAACAAAAGCATGGCCGGCAGCCTCCATCCCCCCTCTTCATCATTCTCTTCAACCACTTCGCCATCCTCCAAAATTATCTAGCACACCTTCAATATCAGCATCAGCAACAACACCACAGCCCAAGTATCAACAGCCTGACGCCTAACAACACCAGCTAATCCAATTCAAGACAACCCAATAAGACAGCATCACATAAACTACAAAATTCTAGTCCAACTTCCATACATTTTGATGACAGCATCAACAATGACTTGGATTGAGTTTTGGTCAATCGAAAAGAATCCATATGCCCATGGAAGCACTCAATAGCCCATCGCTCTCGACAGTTGCTCATTGTTTCTTCATTCAAGTTGTCCATTGGTGTGTTGGTCATGTCGAACTCAATAAATTTTAGTGCATATGCCCAACAATCAGCTCGACAATAGGAGGAAGACATTAGCATTAGAATCAGCTTATAAAACAATTGTATCATGTAAGTTTTATACAAAATTTATCTTGAGTCATTTGTAGGGACGGGAAGGTGCTTAAGTGGCCACTTTCCCGTTAGTAGTTCATCACCCAAGTGCTGAAATATCCCGCTGTTGCGCAACAGCCACGGGAACAATACATACAGTGGCTGCAACTCTATCTCCAACTGTCTCTCTCGACAAATACTTGGGTTATAGTCAAGGATCTACAGCAAACCCTCCTCTAGTAGCGCAACGACAGTTATCCGATGCATATCCTTGATGTTCATGATGTAGTACACTCTTTTAACATTTGTTCAACTGTTGTCATGTTTAGGCTTTTCCCCCCATACATACTACATCATCCTGTCATCAAACTAAAAATCATCAGGGACACCGTCGAAGTCATATGTGGCCAATCTTTTCTTCTTGCCTCCCTTTATTGCACTCTACCATCGGCCTTTTTCATTGAAGTGTCATATGTAGTTACTAGCGTTTGGCCAAAAGCCACATCGGTGATGGCATAGTGCGGATATAAAATATCACCATTACTGCTCTGTTGTAGCCTCATAAGTGTCAATACCTTATTGATGTGTTGCATCAAATAAAAACAACATGATAAGTATACAATACCTCGTGGAAAACATAAGCAAAAATAAAGGAAAAATAACTCACCGAGTCGTCAAGCCACTTGCCCATCGTCAACATCTTTTCAAACCACTCCCAAGGATAATCCATCGTCTTGCACTTCACATGCCCATCACTTCCAAAATCATTGTAATAGGCATAGAAGAGTTTTTTCCTTTCCTTATCTAATGGTCTATACAAATCAACCTTTAACTCCTCCGTTTTCAGTTGCCCATTTCCTCCGCCTTCCTCCTCCATTTTCACTTCCCCATTTCCTTCGCATCCCACCTCACCCTCCTCCATTTTCACTTCCCCACTTCCTCCGCCTTCCTTCTTACCCTTCTCCTCTATTTTTCCTTCTCCACTTTCACGGACTTCCTCATTTTTTTTCTTCGTTTTCCTCTTCTTTCCATATGTTACTGCCGTGTGAGGAGAAATTACATGCTTACTCTTTCGGCTCTCTCTTTTATGCTCAAGTTGCACTTCTACCACTTTCAATACCCCACCAACTTCCTCTGCCACCCTATTAACTTTCTTCTTCACCCTATCAACTTTCTCCTCCCCCCTTTTCATCCGCTCTTCCATCTTCTCAAACCTCTCATAAACGGTTGTTGTAAAACTCTCAAACAGACCGTTTATGAGGTCAACCACCTCATTCTCCCAACCCCAACCTTGACGCCTCGATAAAGTGGTACTTGTTGTACCGGTTTGCCAATTGAGTAGAGGCGTACGAACCTCTTCATCCTCCTCCCTCCTGCAGATTGGAGCTTCATCATCCTCGGCGTTAATAACATTCTCAAGCAGTGGCCTTGCAACTGCACTCACATGCATGACCCCTTCTAGGTCCCGCATTAGGCGGTTTATCCCTTCATCTGTTGCATCCTCCAATGCTTTGAATGATGTAACATACTCCTCTCCCACTTCACCCGTAGTAGCGGTGAGGAAGGGACAGACGACTTCCTACAATAAGAAAAAAAAAATCAATCAAATTTAAGCCACATTTAAAAGTAAGTGCATATTCAAAAGATTAATCCTTTAATCTTACTCAAGCCGTTTGAATTTCCATGTCTATTTTGTCGTAATCCCAATGGGTACACTTCTTAATGTGCCACCGCAACATCATAGGAAATTACGGTAGCTATCCGAAGTCTTTTCCTTGCAGGGAGTCCATGGTTAGCTGGAATGATACTCGTCTCTACGAATAAGCATTAAAGAAGTCCATGTTGCTTGCAAACTTCACCCAATCCATATTAACGGCTTTTGTTGAGTCAGAAGCCATTAAGATCGAATGTACAAACCATACCAGGCACATCTTGAACCTCTCTAAGGAGGTATATCCACCTTCTCCTAACCTCTCCTCTAAATCGCGTCCTGTAATAGAGGCCTTCCCCCCCACCCCCCCCCCCCCCCCCCCCCCGCCAACCTTTTTAGCCAAGTTATCAGTTGCCCTACTCTTCTTTATTCTCTCTTGCTCTTCTGCATTTAGAAATGCCCCACATCTTAAGCTGTCATCAAGGCATATTCCATCATCCCAAACCGTAATGGCTTCCCATCCACAACGAACCACATTTATTTTTTTTTTTTTCTTTTTGCCTTTTAACTGAGTGCATCAACATATAATGCACTCCCTGCCCCCCAAACGCCTTTTTCCAATTTTCTCCGATGTTCACAAAATGACCGAAACAACTCTCTTTGAATAGATCCATACCCTTCTTCTATCCCTATAAAATCTTTATTATTCTCGTAAAAACTTGTCAACTCGACCTAACTATCACCCTTATGGGGAAGTATGGTACCTTATCGCTTACAACCTCCAATCCATAGTCTTTATAATTTACACTTCGGAAAATCTGCACAATCGATATAAACTAAATATCAGCAAAAAATAAAAAATAAAAACCAAAACAACCAATAAACCGCCAATTTGGGGGATATAGGCTTCGAGGGCATCAGGGAGTTGGTGTTTTTGGCCTCAAGAGGATCGGGGAAGCCAATGCAAGCCTTACAGAGGCTGTTGTGGCAGGTTCCATGAGGTTAGAGGGCTAAGGATAAGCTGCGTGCGTTGTGCGTGGCTAGCCCTGCAATATGCAGGGCAGCCCTCTAGCTCCCCTATTCTGCCACCTCCTGTCATCCCCAGCCCTCCAACCTCCCACAAACAACCTCCCTACGACCTCCCTTACCTTCCAACATCCTTTAGAGCCCAAACAAAGCCACTCCTCTAATGTCCGCCAACTGCTCGACAAAACGCCACAACCACCATAACAATAAAACCAACTACATATTCCCCAAATTTGCACAAATCAATCAAATTTCTCATCAAATTCAAAACAAGAAGTAAAAAACGTACCCTTTCTTCATCGGCGTCCTCCTCTTCAGAACCGTCTTCTGATTCTTCTCTCTATTCTTGTGACGTCGTTGTCTCATCTGCCTCTGGACCACCTTCGCTCATCAGATGATCCACCAAAGCGTCTTCTTTGATAACCTTTGAACTGTTGTCGCCTCCAAAGTCTAGGATTTAGAGTGGGGTTAAGTTTTCCTCCTCTTTGTCAATATCAACCATGATTTTGTGTAAGGAAGCTTTATGATCGAATATTTGCCGGAATAAGGCACTTTCGTCGCCGAAAATGGTAGAGAAATCAAAGGTGTTCATCGGTCTTTTTTGAGAATTTGGCTCAATTAAGCGATTTTGAAGGGTGGGAGTCGTTTTTAATTTTCAAAATTTAAACAAACTTCCGTTAATTATAATATTACCTATATATATTTAAATCTTTTCTCTTTAACCCGTTTTACAGTCACGTCAGTTTTTCTAAATTAAAAAAATTACAAAATATTTTAGGGTCATTTTTTAAAATGCAAACTTGGGAGGTCCGACGAGTTAAATTTCGTCCTATCTATTCCCGGTAAGTATAACCAGCAACATAAATTTGAATAGAGCGAAAAACCCTAATTTCGGATTCGAATGTGAAAGAAAGGAAGGATCACTGTCATCTTCAACCACTCCAAAATGCAGTCACCGTCAACTGCTTCAGGTATTCAACCATACTCCTTACGTAGTTACAAATCATCGAAAATTATCATCATCTTAGTGATTATTTAGAGCGAATTATGAGTAACTAACTGTTCTGGTGACTTTTTACATCACGAATTTTGATTACTTAGTTTATTTATCTGATAATTCTTATGGGTTTTTGAATATTGCTTATGATTGAGGTACCAGAAAATACAGGGTTAAAGTCTTTTGTTTTTTATTAAATTGATCCAAGTTTGATACTAATTGGGATTAATTTTACTAAATTTCAACGTTTTCTTTCTTATATGCGTGTGATTCTCTATGATTCAGATGCTGTGATGTTCATATTTAAGAAAGATGTATATGGCTATCAGATATTGATGCTTAAGATGACAACTTCAAGAAATCTTAATTGGGATTTATGTTTTATTACTTTATGTTGGACTTGGATACTTTGCATTTTTATCTTACATTTTTATTGTATATAATCAATATATTTTCAGCTAATGAGGTTATAACTCTGCAACTATGACAGATTTTGTAGACACATTGCTCAAAAGAGAGAATAGTAGAAGATCCAAGAAGGCTAGAAGGCTCCACAATTGGAGAACTTCATCATGGGCTGATCTTCCGCCATAACTTCTTGAGATTATTTCTAATGATCTGAATATAGTAGACTTTCAAAGCCTTGGTCGAGTTTGCAGAAGCTGGAGATTATTTTATTTCGAATTTAAGTAGAGGTTTTTGACATCTCAATCACCTCTTGTCTTTTATACATCAGCAGGAGCTAAGAAGTATTGTTATTTTTTTTGACATGGCTAATCGGACGAAATACAAGACTAAGCCGCCTCAATATATTTGCAACTTCAAATTCTGTCTTGGTGTTTCAAGTGGGTACTTAATCATGCTCTGTCTTGAGAAAAAAGATGTTTCGAGTAGTTATTTATGGCTTATAAATCCTGTTACAGGACATCAAATCCAATTCCCTTGCATGCCCCGGCCTCCTCGTATTAAGGATTGTCATGACCCTGGCATCTTCCGCAGCCTCTTTGCTTCCTTTGGATCTCAAGGTTTTCTTATTATGATTCTTTGTAAGTATGGCACAAGCTTGCAGTTCTGTATTTCTAGAGATAAAGAGTGGAAAGAATACCACTATGGTTTCAAGAGTTGGCGTATGTTGGATATAGTTGATTTTTATGGCAAGATATTTGTTCTAACTGATTATTCTCGGATTGGAATATTCAACTTTAGATCTTGTGATTTGAACTTTATGGAACTGCAAGTTGCACCTCGTTTAGACATTTGTTGGGGTAATTCAATTAGGTTGGTGGCTTCAAATGATCAACTTTTTGTAGTTGATGATATGATAATTTATAGAATAGACTTATCAAGGATGGAATGGGTGAAGGTGAATAATTTAGGAGAGCAAGCATTGTTTCTTGGCCATGGTGACATGATGTGCTCCAAATTAATTAACCCAACAAAGTGGGGAGGACAAGCCAATTGCAGATATGGTCTCTTTTTCTCTTCCAAAAGATGTGATTTAAACTCATTTAATCGTGAGGAGCCATGAAGTGCTATTACTATTGATGTGTGACGGGACAGGGATTATAGTTGGTATGCTTCTACCAAAATATATTCTTGGTATTTTCTACACCAATCAAACGATAATGATAATGTCAGGGATGATTAGTGGGGTGGTATGTGGAAGAATTTTAACTCAGACAAGGTTAAGTGTGGGAACTTCTTTTTGAGTTATATGTTGTTTCTTCTTACTTTTATATGAATGATTGTATGCTCAGAGACAGTAACCACGTAATACTGTTGACAATTTGCTGACTCTGGTATATTTCTATTATCAGGTTTTTGTTGTTTCTTTGAATCTAGAAATCACAATATAATTTAGAGTATAGCTCTACTATTTTGCTTTGTATTCAATCCTTAAACCTCAGGGCAGTACACTTATCAGCAATATTCTTAATTTTTGCTGAGTTTAGTTCCCTGGAAATTCCGTTTTGGGCAATTAGATTTGTCATAACCTCATCTGGTACCTCTGTGTTCAACTATTTTGATATGTGACATCAGATAGACAAAAGAAGTAAAAGCCATTCTATGCCTTGTGTTCGGATTGACAGAAAATTAATAGAAGGTTAATGCTAAAAACCATGCTAGGGTTAAGATACATGTTGGTCATACCTGACGGATTATCGAAGGTAAATGTCCCCGATGGAGTATCTAAATTCTAAGGAAAAGGTGCAACGATAATAATTAGTCATACATACGAGCAGAGCAATAATTACAACTGGTTGGTTATACATACAGTACAAAATGAAACTGCCCAGGTTATGGGCAATTCACAGAACTATCTCCGAAGGGCTAGGCGTCCACCGCCCAAAGCATTTTCTCTCCTCTGCTCTGTTTTTTTACTCTGTTTCTGTCTACCAACCGGTTTCTTTCTCCTGTCCTCTCTTTGCTTTTGTTGACAAACCCATCATCTCTCTCTGTTTTATATTTCGGAAAGCTACCGCCTAAAAGCAAGGCCACAAGCCTTGGAGATAAGAAAGAGGAAGACTTTTAAGTCTTAAACTTTTATTTGAATAAGGATTTCAGTTTTGTAGAACAATATAAAGATTTTGATCATTTAATTTTTTTTCTACTTGTTTGAGTTAGATTAGGATTCTTGTTTAGGGAGTTTTTCTTTTTCCCTATTTCCTTGATACACATAAAACCAATAAAATTTTGAGTTGAGTTAATCAACCCAACAAAGTGGGGAGGACAAAGCAACTGTGTGTATGAGCGCTTTGAATGATGCTCAGCAGAAAATTTGGCTATGGAATTCTTATATTTTGTTACATTATTCTTTGATAATTAATTTTCCTAAAAGAAAATTATTTCCGATTTCTATTTGGAGTAGTGGTGTCAAATTTCAATTCATCCCCACAAATCAATATATGCAACTCTAAAAAGACAAAACCACCGCCTATTAAAACTTCCTAATAAATAAATCAGAAATCGATAAGGAAGATCGTTTGAAGGATTTGTATTTTGTTACTAACGTCCAACACTAAAAGGCTTTTAATACTTAATTGAGTTGATTATGATTTCCTATTAGTTTGTTTACTTTTTAATTTCTTTAACCATATATAAACATACAATCAATAATATTTTTCCAAAGCTTGAATATGGGTATGAAAAATTGTACAGGTACAGTGCAGAAACGAGGGAGGAAGATCAAAACCAGGCCCTTAGCGGCGTTCAGAAAGCAGAAAATAGAGAAGAATGAAACAAAGACAATCAGGAAGAAGATAAAGATGAATATCTGCTACAATCAGAGGCCATGGGCTGATCTTCGAGAGGAACTTCTCAATATAATCTCTAGCAACTTGAATATTGCAGACTATCTCAGCATTGGTAGAGTTTGCAGAAGTTGGAGATTATTTAATTCAGAGTACGAGGACGGTTTCATGGCATCAAAATCACCTCTTGTCATTCACATCTCATCACAAGCTAAGAAAGCGTGCTGTTTTCACGAAATAGCCACTGGAATCAAATACAAGACAATGCTTCCGAATTTTATTTGCGACTTCAAATTTTGTCTTGGTGTTTCTGGTGGGTATTTAATCATGAAAGATACTTGGAGTCAAAAAATTTGGCTAATAAACCCTGTTACAGGACGCCAATTCCAGTTCTCTCGCGTGCGCAAACTTTCTGATAATATTCGATTTAGTTCAGATCGTGCCATTTTCGCTTCAACTGGGTCTCAAGATCAAGATTTTGTTGTAGTGATTCTCTCTTGTCGGAACCAGAACTTGGAATTTTATACATCTAGAAACAACCAGTGGAAAGAATACTCTTTTAAACTTAAGAATTGGCATATTTTGGATATGGTTGTTTTCTGTGGCAGGATATTTGCTATAACTAACCATTCTCAGATTGGGATACTTGACCTTAGAAATTTTGATTTGAAGTTTTTGACACTGAAATTTGCACCTCGTGTGAGCAGTAATGTGAGGTTGGTGACTTCAAATAACAATATTCTGATCGTAGATTATGTTAACGTGAACATGATTAAAGTTTATTCAATAAACGTGAAGAAGATGGAATGGGTTGTGATGAATAATTTGGGTCAACATGCTGTGTGCGTCGGTGATGGGGGCATTATAAGCTGCAAGTTAATCGACCCAACAAAGTGGGGAGGACAAAGCAACTGCGTTTATGTGCTGTTAAACGATGGATGCCATATACACTCCTTGAAGAATGGCGAGGTGAAAACGATTCGTAAATGGAGATGGGATGATAAAACTCGGATGTACTCGTGGTATTTTTTTTCTGCAGATAATGTAAGAGGCTTTGATTAGTTCGGCTCAGTTTCACAAAACCTTTTTATTTTTTAACCCAAATAAGTGTTAGATTAGGAAGGATATATGTTAATTTTCCCACCATATAAATTGTAATTTGAAAAGAAGGAAATATAATTCTCTCTGTGTGTTTTCTTACATTTTCTCTCTAACAAAATTGTTTAATTATTATGAAAATTTAGAGTTTATGTTTATGCAAAAATTGGCTGATCGTGAACTGGGTTGACTAACCCACATTTTTTGCGGTGGAAAGAGTAGTCTACTTCACAGAACCTTAGGTTTATTGAGGATATAGTTGTTTTTTATAGCAAGATATTCGGTATAACTAGCGATTTTCAGATTGGGGAATTCAACTTGAAATCTGCTGATGTGGTGTTTTAGACACTGACTTAATGTACCTAAGAATTAGGTTCGTCGCTTGCAATGAACAGCTTTTGATAGTCTACTTTAATCTCCTGGAGGAGAATACACAGTTCTCGGTTTACGGTATAGACTTTTCGAGGGTCGAATAGGTTAGAGTGAACAACCTGAGTGATGAAGCTGTGTTTATTGATCAGAAGAGATTGAGGTTAAGCAATACAGCTAAATGGGGAGGAACAAGGAACTGGGTATTATCTTCCAATAAATTCCAGTATCTGTTTTGTATACTCCTTAAATGGCAATGTGCTGAAGACTATTCAAATTGTGAAAGCTCATCTTCCTGCACGAATAAACAGTTGGTGTTTCCAAGACCCCAATTACACAGTACAGACAATGTTAGGGATGATGATTGATGACAATGAGTTTGGTTCATTTGCTCTTAATCATCTTTAAGTTTAAGCAAAATCTTATTTCAGATCTTCATAGCAACCTTTACTTTACACTAATGGAATCAATTCAATATTTTACATCAACCCTGTGTAAATGTTTGATTAATGAGATCACAAAATGTCAAATAAAACCCAGATTTGAATCTGTGACAAATCCAAGGCTCATTTTCAGATTAAGGGCTAAACAAATTTGATAAAGAGATCCATATTTTTCATTAAATTCGAAAAGATTTACATAGTCAGAATTAAAAATTGGAAACCCAAGCAATGAGCACAGATTCAGACCTTCTAAATCTCTATCAAACTGATTCAATACAGAACATTTCTCTTAAGCTCTCTCACCTCTAATCCTCCTAGCGAGTTGAATATCTTTAGGCATAATAGTGACTCTCTTTGCGTGAATTGCACAGAGATTTGTGTCCTCAAAGAGACCAACGAGATAGGCCTCAGCGGCCTCTTGAAGAGCCGCGACGGCGCTACTTTGGAACCTTAGATCAGTTTTGAAATCCTGAGCGATTTCTCTCACAAGTCTCTGAAATGGAAGCTTGCGGATCAAAAGCTCTGTGCTCTTCTGGTACTTTCTGATCTCTCTCAAGGCTACAGTTCCAGGCCTGAAACGGTGAGGCTTCTTCACTCCTCCGGTCGCTGGAGCTGACTTGCGAGCAGCCTTCGTGGCCAGCTGCTTACGTGGCGCCTTGCCTCCGGTGGACTTCCTTGCTGTTTGCTTTGTACGAGCCATTTCCTTGATTTGCGATTGAAAATGTGTGTTTGTTTCTCGAGAATATGAACGTAAATTTCGTAGTGGTGACGAGAAGGGAAAGTAATTGGAGGGTTTTATAAGCAAAATATGGAGGAGCAGGAGGGAATTTTGAAATTTTTGAGCGTGTTTGCAAGTTTCGAATGGGTGAATTTAAACCGTAGATTTGTAGCTAATCGACGCGTGATAATGATTGAAGCTGACTAGCTGGCGATCCACGTGACATAAGAATTACCCAATGGGCCTTAAGAGTTTTGGTTGAATCTGGAACGTAGATTTGGAAGGACATGGACGCTTGAGATTGTTTAAAGTTGACAATAAGGATCGTGATCCGCGTGTATTTGAAAGAACCAATGATAATTTAGCTGATGCGGAAATTTGAAAAAACCTTTTTTTTCAAAGAAGGACGAGCTTTGGACCGTCGATTGGTGGTATAATCAACGGTTGCAATTTTAAGAGATTTTTCCCATAAACGGCGGATTCTGGGTCTCTCTTTCATAAGTTATAATTTCTTTTAATATTAATTATTTGGAATAATATAAACACTTCGAAATTTTTGTAAGCAAATAATTAATTTACGGAAAATATATAAACTTGATAAATTTATCATTTTATAGATGTTTTGTTGCATTTCAATCGATAAAATTTGTGCTGGATTGTAATAATTCAATACTTAAAAGGTATGGGATTTTTCAATTTAGATTGAGACACAAATTTTCAGTTATGGGTTTAATACAATCCAATGGTGTAAGAATTACTGGGATGGTAAAGAAAATAACTATCTCAAAACTCTTTTTCACATCCATTTGATTACAAAATATCAACGGTCGAAAAATTGTCTCAAGTTAAGTTAAAAAAAAATCTCTTCCCTTAAATATTTAATTATGTTGTGGAACTATAAAGGCATCATAATAAAAACAACCAAAAAGATTAGAAGAAGAAGGAAAAAAAAAAAAAAAAACACCACTCTATCACACATTTATCCTTACGGGAGCAGCGTTTGAATCATATAATGTTTATTATAGAGGGATAATATATTAACGGAATAAAAGATCACCTTGAAGATTACTGAAAATGTTTCGAAAATATGTTTGGTTGATTCGAATAAATTGATGAATAATATGTTTGATTAGGAGGATAAATGGGTGGGAATGTTATATAGATTACTAAAGTGCCATCCTTTTTAAATATTAATATAGCAGTATTTTTTATTATTATTTTTTAAATAATTTCTTTTAACCCCTAACTTTTCAGATTTAGCAAAAACATCAGAACAACAATAAACGTTTTAAACTTAACAAAAACACATCTACCCACCCCAAGCCATTGTCGGTAGCCAGCCACCACCGTTGGCGGCTGCTGGATCTGGCCGTGACTTCGACAATGTCATAGATCTGGCCGTTTCATGGCCAAAGATGTGGTCGTAAAACGCCGACCGTTTCACGACCATAAATCTGCACGTAAAACAACCAGATATGGCCTTTTCCGACTATGGATTTGTGATCCATGATTAAAAAAAAAAAAAAAAAAAAAAACCATCACCGACACATGCCCGGCCATATACAATCAGTCATACGTCATTATGGTTACTTTTGACAGCCTTCGGCGGTGGTCGACGGTGGTGGCTAGTTCTAGATATAATGGCATTTCTATAAATAATGACACTAACAAAGGCAATGTCATCCAAAAAATTTAAAAAGCAAGGGCAAAAGTGTCTACATAAGTGAATTAGGTGTTTTGTAAATGTTAATAAATATAATGTTAATTTGGACCAAATGCTCAACTGTTTAGGGGCAACATGGGAAACAAAATTGTATTACCAGGGATAAGTTTTAATAATAGCCCCTCCCCCCCCAGGTATTAAGATTCCCAGCAATATACCCCCCAAATGTTATTGTTTGTCATAAAATATTATAAGAATATTTTTTTACAAACCAACCAAACATCGTCATCTGCTCAATTTAAAAAATATTACCTCAGTTATCTAATATTAACCCCATCCAAATGGCCCCTACATCTACACAAATTTTGTAGTGATTTTGCACTCTATTATATTAGTATATAAATATCTAAGAGCCCGTTTAAATGGGGTTAATATTAGATAACTTGTGTAATATTTTTTAAATTGAGCAGATGACGATGTTTGGTTGGTTTGTAAAAAAATATTCCCAAAATCTTTTATGACAAACAATGGCATTTTGGGGGGGTAAGTTGCCGGGAATCTTAATACCTTGGGGGGGTTGCATGGCTATTATTAAAACTTACTCAAGGTAATCTAATTTTGTTTCTCATATTGCCCCTAAACAGTTGAGCATTTGGTCTAAATTAACTTTATATTTGTTAAGTTTACAAAATACCCAATTCACTCATGCAAACAGTTTTGTCCTCACTATTTAAATTTTTCGGACAACATTGCCCTTGTTATTGTCATTATTCACAGAAATGTCATTATACCCAGAACCACCCACCACCGTCGGAGGCTGTCAAAAGTCGTTATAATGGCATATGACCGACCATATATGGTCGGCCATGCACTGGAGAGGCCTTTTTCGACCATGGATTGCATATCTATAATAAAAAACGATTGGATCTGGCCGTTTCACGGCCACATCTTTGATAGTGAAACAGCCATAGCCAGATCTATGGCACTGTTGACGGCTGCCGACTGTGGTAACTGGCTGCCGGTAGTAGCTTGGGGTGAGTAAGGGTGTTTTTGTTAAGTTTAAAACGTTTTTTGTTGCTAGGGTGTTTTTGCTAAATCTGAAAAGTTGGGGGTTAAAAGAATTATTCAAAAAATAATAATAAAAATTATTATTATATTAATATTTAAAAAGGAGGGTAATTTAGTAATCTATATAATATATCCACTCATTTATCCTCCCAACCAAACATATTATTCACCAATTTATTCAAACCAACCAAACACATTTTCTAAACATTCACATTAATCTTCAAGGTGATTTTTCATTTTATTAATATAATATCCCCCTATAATAAAACATTATATGATATAAACACCCCCTTATTCTAAAATTAGTATATAAGACTATAGAATGATTGATTGGCCCAATACAAAAGCAAATTAAGCAATGCCTACTGATACATTTGTACAACAACCAAACAGAGAACTAGGATACGGACATAAATCAGAAATGAGATATCAAACCCAGTTGTTTGGAAGTGCAAAATCATGGAATCTGAAGGAGGCATCCCCAGCTGTATCTCTATCAATTATAAGCTCCTGCCCGGAACTTAATCCACCATAGTTATGGTCATCTAAAGCTTCAGGTGACACAGGATTATGTAAAACCTCAGGTGACACAGGCTGAATTTGGTTGTCGTTAGGTTGGCGTGCCAGTCGAACTTCGGGAGGCAATGGCATTGCAGGTGTGGATGTAGTTCTTAACCTGAAAGGGCTCCCTGATGTGGAAACTAAAGATTGGTCCCATAAGAAGACATGAATGAGTATAGGGACTTTGGCGTGCCGGTGCAATGACAGCTTCTGGCTAAGGGAAACAGTGTCGAAACATCTAATCGCTCCTTTTGATGAAACCATCCAGGGAAGAACCTTCTGGTTTGATACTCGCGAGACCACTAGTAGCCTAGATGAATTGGTTGCTTCTTTGTAGAGAATGCTGAGTCCTGACCTTGTGGAGGGTGCATTCTCATCATCATCGATGACTGATGAAATATAGATAAATCCCTGTAAGTTAACTAGAATGATGAGCAATCGCCTTGAAAAGGTTAGAGTGGTTTTTTATATACAATGCAGTTCGGCTAGTGCTTGGAAAATCGGACAGCATACCTCTTCGGTACGACTAATGGCAAATCCAAGCTTTGAATCTTCTTCTTTTAATTTGATCTCAATTGCAAACTCTCCTCCAAGAGGAGCATACCAGAGCCGGACAGCTCTAACAACACCAAGGTCAACCCCATGGTAATCCTCAAAACCATACAGGCTTGCATTTGCAAGATTTGATAAATCAGACAGTGACCCAGCATTCACAGTGGAGGAGGCTGTCTCTCCAGAGATCTGTTCCAAATAAAATGAAAAAATAAATTCCTATTTGTAACCTGATTCTTGAAGATTGCCTTAGCTAAATAAAACATGGAATAAAATTGTTGATTTGAACCAAGAAGAAACTTGGATTCTCTTTATGTTTAAATTGTCCATGTAAAGCAATAGTACCTACAGAACTGCTCCTCTTGGCTCACACAAACAAATTAGTTCTGTACAGATACAAAAAATCTAGTTTGGATGGTAGGTAAAGGGAAAATAGTAATGGCAAAGCAAAATATAAATGTTTAACAAGAAAGTTCTATTGTTGCTTTGGTATGAAAATTGTATTCATGGATCTTTAGGCAACTGATGTGTTAAAGCTTTCAGAAAAATGTGACAGAAGTGTTCAATCGAGGAAACAAGGATCGAATGTTGATTATGATATCTATACCTATGAATTTATGATGTGAAATTTGAGAGACTTGAGTGTATCTTACAAATTACAAGGAACCAACACATTCAAATTCCTATCAGGGAGCTTAATTTAAGGTTAAGGAATTTTACCTTGGTAAGCAGAGACTCAGTTTGGATATTCATAAATACAATGGGGACACCAGAGGCCTGAGATGCATTTAGCCAGGCATTCGCCCGAGCAAGAGTGTCTTCCACGTCATTGTACCGAGAAGCCACTGCATCTGAGGCCTTTGGAAGGAGGAGCATAGAGAGAAAGCAGCTTGAATTGGGAACTGAAAGCACCTCCTGCTTTCTCCTATCCCAAGGATATGAGACATATCCATCTTGAAGCCGAGCCCTAGATAATGCACTTACAACCCTGGTGCCCCTTGAAGCTGCAGAGTTACAATTCATTATTTAAGCATCCACATGAAAGCTTAAGAAATAAAAGACAGAAAAAAGATGCAACATTTTCATTCAACTAGTGTCAGTGCAGAAGATTTTTATAATTTTGTTCTAAAGTCTATTGCCTAAAACTATAACCACTATCAATATCCAAGGAAAACAAAATTGATCACCATATCTAACTCTGAAGAAATAAACTTGAAGTATGCATAATCAGCTTTATTATCTATGGAAATGGCACTGCTCATTACAATCCATTCCAGTGTATATTACTAAATGGTAAAACAAGGGACAAGGGCTCATAGCGCATGTGAAACAGATGCTCAATCCATCCACAAAGAAATGTCGACCATGGTCAATATTGAATCTCATTATGTTCAACAATGTTAGTTATTTCAGTATTAAGTGCTCTCCACCTCTCAATTCAATGCCAACAGCATCACCATTATTATAGAATGCAAATTCAATACTTCATGTTCAAGGGTCCAATTACCTTGCTAGCATACTCTGGTAAGAATATCAAAAACAGAGAAAAATAGAACTTCAATACTGTTTGTCCTTTTTTTATCAAGCAACTCTATTAAATCCATTGTAACACAGCTCATGTTATATCTTACTAAAGAGACATTGTTCCTGCAACACAGCTCATGTTATATCTTACTAAAGAGACATTGTTCCTGCAACACAGCTCATCCCAGTACCCCATGTTTGAACAGAACATGAAATATTTCCTAAGATCTTTTTGCGGTCAAAGTCTTCAAGCTAGAAGTGCTTAATTAATGAAACTCATTAATTCCTGTTGTATGAACTGGCTAGAAATGTCCCAGCCACACTCACGTGAGAAAAGAAGAAGCAGAAAAATATTGAAGAGTGGGAAAAGAAGTGTGTTGAAAACTAGGTCAACTAACAATGATGTATTATCAACTCATTTATGTGTAGAAAATGAAGTCCAAAGTCACATGGACAAGTAATAGTAACATGTAATGCTTTTGCTTTCAGATGACAATAACACAAGCACGAGGCTTGAAAATAAATAGATATTTTTTTACAATGGAGAAAGAAAGCTATGTGGGCAACTTGATAAGAGGTCATTTCAGTGGCTGTGTCAAAAGCATTTTCGAGAGTGATTTCATGATTAATGTGGGTGACCTTCATTACTGGTAGCAGAACCCAACTACCTCAGACCAATCATGTGTGAGCAAAGAAAACAAACAAAAAGAAAGGCTATTACGAAAAATAAAACGAATAAATAAAAGTCAACAATTGATACTAATGGTGATAAAATCTAATAACTTATTCATGGTGGGGTCTTAGTAAAGGCTGCTTTCTTCCTCTGAAAACTTCCAGGAAATAAGAAAGAATTTAAAATTTTCATGCAATTCAAATAAAATTTCAATTTTTAAGATTTATTCATCGATGATCTAACGCTAATGTTGAAAAAATTATTTTCACAAATGCAAAGCTTTTTATATCATAAAATTATGTCAAAAAATAAAATGTACAACCAGGTAAGAAGTATCCATATCACATCAACGCGCATGAAACGCAGGCGAAGATCCATTCATGGAGTAGCATGTTAGAAAATAAAATTTTGTTATAATTTTATACATTTATAAGACCAAAATATTATATTTTTTGATATACTAATATTATTAAATTTTTGTATTTTATGGTAGGAACACATCTGAAAACCACCCAAATAATCAAAATATGAAAAGGAACCAATCAAAATTCTCTCTGGAAACAACAAAATATTATATTGGTGTTATCAAATCCTATTTATATTAAAAAATTAGACTAAAAATCTATAAATTTCACAAAATATTATTTTTAAAATAAAAACTAAAAATGGCTATATTCACACGTGTGTCACAGCACCCCATGCGTACAAAAATTCGAAAGGTCAAAAGTCGACTAAAAAAGTCAAAAATGAACAAAAACGCGGCACAACGCATGACTCACCTTGCAACTCGAAGCAGTCAGCCTCGGTCCGATCACAGAACCCGACAGCGTAATTCGGATCGTCAATGGACCTCAACATGTACTGGTTCTTCTTCCCGCCCGACTCCGGCACAATACACGCTTGTAACTCAGTGAACTCGTCGCTGCCGCGCCTCACTTTCACCAGAATCGAAGTCTCTTTACCTTTAAAAGAGCTGTGCAGAATCTTCTGGACTCCGCTCTTCCCGTTCTTAAACGGCGACGTGTACGAACGCGACGATCTGGTTCCGAGCCCCGACCCGCCTCCTCCAATTCGGATCTCTTCGACGATATCGCCGGTCTGGAGCATGTCGCGGGTCCATTCCTCGGCCTTGGAGCTGCCTTTGAGGCACTCTATTGAGAGAACAGTTGAGGATTTGGAGTCTCTGGTCGGAGACTCGCCTTGTGGTTGGTTCCGATCCATTGGAGTTCGGGTCGGGTTCAAGAATTCAGTTGCATTTGTTGGTTATAAAAAGACGGGAGTTTTGAGTTGTGATGTGTCATGTGAGAGAACGAGGTTTTATAAGAGTTTGGTTTAGTTTTAATGAGGGATTAAGTAGAGGAAAATTATGGATTAATTATTAATCAACTGGATGAGATTGAGTGGTACGGAACGGAAGATTAAAGTTCAAGGAATTTGCAGAGATTGGTTTAAATTGAATTGAATTGAATTGGAGGAGAAATATGGACCATGGAGAAAAGTATTGTCTACACGGTGTCGTTTTCTCGGTAATTGTTGTCTATTTCTACGACTTAAGAAAGGAAATTAAAATAAAAATATTAATTAGACAGTTACCTATGCAATAAGATATTAGGATTAATGTATTTGGATTAATAATTACCGTAATTGTTTAAATTAATTTAATATTTAATAGAAAGTTGGTTTAAATGGAAAAAAAAGTGACAAGAAATTTCTCATTTCTATTTCATTTAATTTAAAATAGCATTAAAAAAAGAATAACATTGAATTGTTCCAATCTTAAGAGTTAATATAATTTATCTTATTGTGTAGTTATTAAATAAGATTGTAATCATAAATTTTGTTTTAATTTTATAAACTTGCATAATCTAGAATTAAATAAAAGGTAATAATTTATATATTTAAAATAACTTTTTCATTTAAAAAATTGTAAAAAAAAAAAAAAAAAGGGAATGTGGTTTAATAAAGATTCACATTCTTAAATTTCATGAAGTTTACATATGGTAATGTCACCGTAAAAATTTAATATATACTTATATTTCATACAATTAATATGTAGAAATTATATGTAGTAGTATTTCATACCCTAGTTAGTAATTCGCGTTTTATACGCGAATTATACGGCTGCCGTATAATTCCCGTATAAAACGCGAATTCACGTATGTTATGAGGGCTGCGTTAATCGCGAATTATTACCTATCGTATAATTCGCGAATTATACCCGAATTATTGCCGAATTTTTGCCGAATTTTTGCAGACAAAAAAATAATTACATGATAAGGCAAAACGACGTCGTTTTGGTGGGGTTTGACTAAAATTAAAAAAAATCTCCTTCTCCTCTTCTCCGGTTCTCTCTCCACAATCTTCATCTCTTTTAAATCTTCAACAATTCAACTCTTTTCTCATCTCTTGACTTTGAGTCTTGATCTCTCTTCTCTTCTCTTTTTAAATTTTAACTCTCTTCTCCAAGCTTTAAGTCCAAGACTTCAAACTTCAAGCCTAAGCTACACACTTCTTCTCTCTCTTTTAACTCTCTTTGAATCTTGTATGTTGGTGTTGTTTGTGTTTGGTTGGTGTGTGAGTAGTAATAGGGGCTGGTGGATTGATGGATTTGTTAGTTGGTGGATTGATAGATTGTTTGAAACATGTTGTGATGAAATGTTTGTGAGAGTTATATTGGTATCTGTTTAACATATATTTCATTTAGTTCTGTTGTTTTGTGTTGTATGGGTCAAAATGAAAAGACTAAAGATCATCTATAAAAGCAAAGGTAAAGGCAAAACAACAAAAGAAAAGCAGAATTCATAAATAATATGTCGGGCTTGGATTGGAATTGGCAGATACTTAAAGAAGAAGAAAAAAGCAACAAACCAATAGTTTACAACCACGCCAACTGCAAATTGTAAACCCATGTGCACTTTGTCATGTTTTTAGATTTCATAACACTATATTATTTGACCTTTGAAGTACTGTCAATAAACTCAGAAAATAAAACAACTATACTAATTGGAATCCAAACTTTGTATGCGTAGCTATAAAATTAAGGAAAAAATACTAGTCTTAGTTATGTTCAAATATACTTTAAATTAAAAGGAAAATAAAATTGTAGGGTCGACCACAATGGATTATTTAAATGGGTTTTGAAAAGTGCTAAAACCAAGATTGCTATTGCGTATTTTTCAAACGTATTATTGACAATGTGTCGTATTAAACCCGTATATATCCGAATCGTATTTTTTCCGTATCCGAATTTTATGACCGAATTTTACAAACGTATTTTCACCATTTGCCGTATTATACCGTAAAATTCCCGTACCGTTTTTTTGCCGTACCCGTATTTACTACTAGGTTTCATACAATTAATTTACATACATATCCTTTCCTTTTTACTTGTTTGATCCAAAATGTAAGAAAAGATCTATATTATATTATCATATTGATATTATACATATAAACTGTATAAAGAAATTATAAAAGGAACAGACATTATATAAATTTATAATTGGCATATATGTGTTTCTAAAGGTGGAAAAGTAACCCACCAGCCCGGCCGCGGCGGGTTACATTCTTTGGCGGGCCGGGCCTAACGCCAGCCAACAAAGGCGGGCCAGGTTAGGCCCGCCATTTGGGAAAATGGCTGGCCCAGCCCGGCCCGCAAACCCTAACCCGTCGAGTTAGGCGCGGTCCAGGCGGGTTAGCCTGATTTTTTTTTTTTTTTTTTGTTTTTTTAATTTAACTTTTCAAATAATAATTATAAATATAATTGTTTGATTGTTTTTAGTTAACTTTTCAAATATCAAAATTCAATTCAATTCATTTTTTTTTTTTTTGTTAACATTTCAAATATTAATTCAATTTAATACAATAAATTGTATATAAGAAAAAATTAGACTTATTCATTTATCAAAAATAAAATAAGAAATTACAACAATTATTATCTCATAAAAACACCACAAGAAAAACCCAAGGGAGAAAAACTTAAAAAAAAAACAGTGTAATGATTGACATTAATTTACAAATTATATTTTACAAACAACTAATTTGGGGGTGGTTCAATAGGATTCTACTAAAGTATCATCTGTATCATCTATATTACAAAATTGAAATGATTCTACTAAAGTATTGTCGATAACCGTATTGATCTTGATGGCGCGATCGTTCCCAACTCGAAGACATGTGAGGCTTCAATCATTTTGGAGCAAGTTTAGTCCTCCTTTCATTTAAAATCCTTCCACTTGCACTAAATGTTTGTTCGGATGAGACGGTTAAGAAAGGAACAGCGAAAATCAAGGAAAGTCTTGATAATACCGGAAAAATACATTTATAGCTCTCAATAATCTAAGATATCAAAGTGCCTGTTGAAACATTTCGAGGGTTGCCAAATTGTTGAAGTTCATTACTCTACGACTCCCATGGAGGACAGTATATTAGTTGTTGTTGTTGTTGTGGTGGTGGTGCTTCTGAAGAGGAGGCTGTGCTTCGAATTCGGGTCCTCTTCGGCTATTCAGTGCATTCCAAGAGTATAAGTCTTCATTTGTTGTTTCTTTCTGCTACAGCTTCTTTGGATATTTCGTCTCTTTGCGACTACGGGTTCCCTACCTGTTCATATTGGAAATATACTTCGAAAAGACTATTTTTTACCTTCCTATTTGATTGACATATGATTCGGTTTGTAAATTTTCACTTAAATTGTCAAAACCATTTTCTAAACGTGCTAATTTAATTCTAGGATCATATAGCATCTAAACAATAAGAAAAGGAATGGGTTCCAAATTTCAAAAAAAAATTTCCATTGCTTTATTGGTGCATGTAAAATTTCATTATCTCTGTTTTTGTAAATAACTCGGAAATTTTATAATAGTAGTATTACCAATGGACTAGTGGGATAATACACACCAGAAAGTTGTAAAGTGGATTGGTAAAACATTTGAGAAAAGAATGAATACTTTAGCATCTTCCAATCATTTTCTACCACATATGAGGACCTCTATTATTTGCTACAAAATAACTAATTATATTAGCATAAGGTAAACATGAATCAAGCATTAAATAAGTACTATTCCATCTAACAGGCATATCTAATGCAAAAGTTCTAGGAGACATATTTGATTTTATACAAGCTTTGAAATTCAGCATTTCTTTTATTACTACCGCAATCCAAGCTAAAGATTCCCTAATTCATCAATATTTTGTTTAATTGTTTTCATACCACTTTTACAAAATTAATAACAGACATGCACAACGTTGGTGAGAAAACTTCAAATTGTTATAAAAGGATAATTATTTTGAAAAAATTCTATAGCTTTACTATTAGAACTTACATTATCTAAAGTTAACTTATCACTTTATCATAATATCATAGTCTTCTAAAACTTCAACATTTTATTATAGATTTCTAACACACTATGATCCACATCCATTAATCTAAATCCTAATAAAGATTTATTTAATTAAATTATATCAATAATGACTAGTCACACAAATAATCTTGTTTAGCTCTCCACTCAAATATCGGCAGTTAGACCACACTAATATGACAAGTATGAAATTTATTTTTAATTTAATTTCATTTTGTTAAACAATTTTATTAAATCATTTCTAGTTGCAGTTTTAAAATAACTTTTAAATCCTGGAAAAATGAATTTTGAACAAATCTTTCAAATATTTATCTTCTGCCTATTATAGGTTGATCAGATGCAGCAATATATAAAGCTAACTGTTCCCTATATATATCAGAATTATAACGCCAAGTAGTACCCATATGTTATTTGAGTTTGACTCTATTTCCATGTTGATTAATATGTTTATTAGCATGCCTTTTTAAAGTACTAGTACCATTACCTGAATCAGCTTATAAACATTTGCACAATATTTGCATCTTGCTTTCTTGACTTGAACGCCATTTTTGTCTCGTAAAACTTGTCGAAATACGCCCAAACGTCTGATGTGTGTCTGTCTTCGCTTTTGACGGCAGTTGATGATCCCGCCTCAGCTTGAGATGAAGTTGGCGAGGACGACGATTACGAGGACGACTTCTAGAACCACTGGGAGCTGTTGGAATCGACGACATATTTTGAGGTGTATCGGATTCTGAGACTGGGATTGGGACAGCGGGACTATTTGAATCTCCTGCATTCATAGTAAAATCAGCGGACTAGGACTAGAATAATAGTTTTCTTCATCATTGAATTGAGGGAGAGAAATATCTATCCATTGTAGACTTGTAGTTGAAAAAAAAAAAATTGATGTAGAAGAAATAAAAATTAAAGAAGAGAATTGAATAATGAAAATTGGAAATTTGGAATTTGGAAAATTGGAAATATGAATTGAAAATTGCAAAAACTAATAAAAATTGAATAAGAGCAAATTGATAACAAAAGATTAAGAGAAAAATGAAAATTGAGAGAATAGAGATTAGAGAATATGAGAGAATTTGAGTTGTGAGAAAAATATGAGAGTTTAGGGCCAATTTATAGAAAAAAATGAGGAAAGAAAATGACGACAAAAGACCCCTCAACGCTATAAAATAACTATATTCAAGGGAAAGGGTAATTTAAAAAATAAATAAATTTTACATTTTTTTTAATTTTTTTTTTGGCCAACCCGCATGCAACCCCGCCGGGTTGGCGGTCCTCCTGCAAAGAAGAAAAAACAGCAACCCGCAGGCCGCCGGGTTGCCATTTTGCAATCCGACCCATCCGGGGGCTGCTGGCGGGTTGGGCTCAATCCAGCCCGATATTAAAGCGGATCGGGTTGGGGTTGCCCGCCTAACCCGGTCCTTTTTTTTCCATCTCTATGTGTTTCTAGTTCTAAATAGAAAGATTTTATAGAGATGTTATATTGAGAATATGAAATTTATTTTCTAAGAAGAAGTGTAGTTTGACCGTTGGATGGAAAGATTCAACGGCTATGCTGGCAAGTTATAGCACCTTAAAGTTGTCGTCCTGTCAAAGCATTAGAAGCTTCTTGATTTGATGGGCACAGGTGGACAAAAAACGAAAATTGAGCTCTCACGCGCTAATCTGAGAATCAACAACACCTTCCAATTATTAGTGAGCCAGTGACATCACCGTATAGAAAATTCTTCCCGGCAGATGATGTCAAAATTTCTTCGCGTGCAAGATTTGTTCCCATCCTGATTTCTAAGTCCACGGTTTTTTCGATTAAAAAAAGAGACCTCAATCTCATTTTTCACAAAAGGTAATTTGGAGCCATTAAAGGCTTCATGGTTCAGACTGGAGAGTGGAGATCCTTCGGGAGATGGCACCGGTGGGCAATCTATCTGGGGAAGGGAATTTGAAGATGAGTTTCACAAAAGGTAATAATTTTTTATATATTAGCATGATGAATCATCACATTGTTTGCGCTGATTTTACGCAATACTACTGTCAATATCTTGAAGAAACCTGTTTCGAACTTTTTTTTTTCCCTCGATGACAAGCAAAGGTTACAAGAATTTTTTTTGTCCCTTGTTTCTAATTTACAGCTCAACTACTGACATGCTCTACTTCTTACTGGTTACCATGTATCTGCAGCTTACGACATGACAGACCTTTCACGGTTTCAATGGCAAATGCGGGGCCAAGTACAAATGGCTCTCAGTTCTTTATCACTACTGTAGCTACTCCATGGCTGGACAATAAGCATACTGTTTTTGGTAGAGTTATAAAATCAAAGGGCATGGATGTTGTACAAGTATTATTTGTGTACTTGCACAGTTGCACTCGCGTAGCTTCTCATAGAGATAGACTTGCCCGACGGTTATGTAATGTATGTTTCACGGATTGGCACTATTGGGCCATCTATGTGATGCGCCTAAATCAACCTAACAAGTCTAGAGGTGAAACAAATAAGCAACGGGTCAATCTTAATCCGAACCGTATTAAAGAGGGTTTAATCTAGATCGTTTAGTAGGCGGTTTGGGTTGAACCCGATCCGCATGCAATATTCGAACGGACCGGATTGATATATGGTAACCCGGCGGCCCAACAGGTTGCTATTTTGTTTTTTTAGATGGCGGGTTGAAAATTTCAACCGGTTGGCCGTTGGTTTGCAAATTTTTGTCTCTGCTGAATCGGATTTCTCAACTAATTAAGTAATCTACATAATATTTAATATAAATGATATTCCACTTCTTCTTCACTAATTATAACATGTGAATTAAAAGCAAGCCACATGGGTTGTCACATGTTGGGCAGTTAATCATAATTATTTATCCTTCTTTATAATTAAATTTTAAGGCTTGAGATCTACAAATTTTTAATTTTATATTTTCCAATGAATATTATAAGTTGGTATATGATCAAAACCCTTTATGTAAGATTTATTTATGAATATTTAAATTAAATTAATCCAAGTATCCCAAAGGAATATGATCACAACCCTTTATGTAAGATTTATTTATGAATATTTAAATTAAATTAATCCAAGTGTCCGAAAGGATCTTTATAAAATCTCTTAATATTTCCTTTCACTTGATAATTCCTTTTTTGTGGAAATATTTATGTAATAGTGTCTAAAACATCCAACAAAATAAATATATTTTAGACACAACGCAAATCTCTCCTATAAACTTGGATGTTTTAGATTCAGATTCGATGAGTTTTCTTTGTTTTTTTTTGTTCATATATATATAAACTAATTTGAAAATATAGAGCTGGATGTAAGGCATCAAATGAAGCTTCCACAATCTTAATTGCTTAAAAAAAAAAAATTACATGTAAAATAATACCAAAAATGATTAAAGTCCTCACATGTCTTCAAGATTGGGAACGGTCGCGCCATCAAGATTAATACGAGGTTGGCGACGATACTTTAATAGAATAATTTCAATTTTGTAATATAGATGATACGGATGAGGGAGGTCCTAGTTAACCCCCAAATTAATTGTTTTGTAAATTGTAACTTGTAAATTAATTGTCAATTATTGCACTTTTTTTTCTTTACCAAGTTTTTATTCCATTGGGTTTTTCTTGGTGAGGTTTTTAACGAGACAATAATTATTGTAATTTTTTATTTTATTTTTTGATAAATGAATAAATCTAATTTTTCTTATATTACAATTTTATTATATTAAAATTGAATTAATATTTGAAATGTTAATAAAAATAAAAATTGAATTGAATTGAATTATTGATATTTGAAAAGTTAACTAAAAACAATTACACAAAATAAAAGAAAAGAAAAAATTAAATAAAAAAAGAAGGGGGGAGGGTAACCCGGCCCAGCTCGCAGCATAACCCACCGGGTTAGGGTTGGCGGGGCGGGCTGGGCTAGCCAATCCTAACAAGTGGTGACCCGACCCGCCAAAAACACTAACCTGCCGTGGGCCAGGCGGGTTACTTTTCCACCATTATAACAAGTCCATTAGTTGTGATCAAGTAATAAAGTGATGAGTCTAAGTATCGTCCCACAGAGATCAAAACAAATATTTGTAATTACCTAAAACTATTTATACGTTATTTGAGAAAATGAAATTTTAGAGTGTAAATAAAACTAATGAACTAAAAATAACTAAATTAAACAAATAAATAATGTGAAGAACTTTGCAATATTAATAAAGTTAGGGTAGAGATTTCCCCCTAATTATGCTTAACAACTACTCTTAATACTCGTTTGTGCTATGAATTGGTAGGATTCTTCTAAGGTCAATTATCCTTATTTAGGCATAATATTCAACTTAATACAGATCTCTATTCGGTTACTCTGAAATTAAGAAGCATAAATTCATCAATCTCTTACGACTAATTCGCCCTAATTAGTTATGAATTAGATGAACCACGAATTAATCATAGAATCTCTATTCGATTACTTCTAATTTTAATACGCTATGCAATGTTATTCCAATAAAACAATTATGAATATGAATTAAGCGATAAACCCTAACTTCTCTATTTGAAACATCATCAAGGTAATTGAATCAATCCAACATTTATAAAATATTAAACCTAAACTCTTGCAAAAATTCATAAACATAAATCTGGTATTAAGAATAAAAATTGTTCAAAACATAATTAGGGTTCCATCCTCCCCTAACAAAAGGGATTTACTCCATCCTAAGAACAAAGAAATAAATAGAGAAGAAGGAAAACATATTCAGACTTGAAAAGAAACAAAAATCAAACTCTTAAATCTGATCTTCAGTCTTCCAGCCCAAGAATGTGTCTTCTCCTCTCAAAGATATGCAAAATTCGTCCCTTGACAACTAATCTCAATTATACTTAAATACTCAAAACAGTCCTAAGTGAAAAAGGAAAGAAAAATTGACAAAAACGCCCTAATAGTTTCCGCCATAGCACTAGCTGTGGCCAAATTTAAGTCGCCACAGCCTAGGCCGTGGTGCTTTATGGTTTCTTTTTTTTATTTTTGTTTCACCACCATGATCATGGTGAACTACTAAGGCATGGCCGTGGCCTTCAAGAATGTTAGATAATCTCAACTTCTTCAAGCTTGAAATCACAGTTTCATTCTAATACTCTAATCTACTCAATCAAAGCCTAAAAAACACAAAAACTATCCAAATCAATAGCTAACCATTCATATCTCAAACTTAACAAAAACTAATATCAAAATAAAGAAAACAAATGAGAAGTTAACTAAACTGACATCAAAACAACCCTAAAAACACTCAAATTATGCAACTTATCGATATGTTCTAACTTTTAGAAAAGTATCTGGTGATCTTTTTATCAAAACTAAACTGAAGAGAGATTTTTTGCTGTTGGATTTGGGGTTTACCCAACAATTTTTATTGAAATAAAGAAGATAGATATTTATCTTATAATTGTTAGCACTTTGCTTAGAACCTTTGATGTAGAATCTCTTAAGATCTATTGCAAATACTGGCCTCAATCAATGCAAAATTTCTTGCTACGTTTAAGCTATTACAATTTCCATAATTTCCCTTATTTTATACTTATGTTTGGCCTTTCTCATTATCATCATTTCAGGTTAAGTTAGGTTGCTGATTGTCTTAATTTAAGGAGTCTAGTTTGCATAATTTTATTCCTTTCCTTATTTCAATTCGTAAGCTCTTATCCTATAAAAAAATCGTATTATGAACCTTATAAACACTTCTGATGAAATATAAAATTTATCTCTTTGAGAGTTTCTTTCCCTTGTGGATTCAAGGAGTTTTGGTGGATTCCAAAGTTATAGAACAATATCTGACTCATTCTTGTTTTCGTCTATGTCAACCTTGTTATAAAAGTTATAAATTGAAGCCCTTTTTTTGAAATCACTAATCTATTTCTTTGACGTTGGACTATAAATTTGGTTCTCATATGCCTCTTTACATTTTCAATCTAAATTTTTATTGCTATTAGTATCTAGTGTATCCAACCTATGAATAATAGATCCTGAATGGTGTCTTTAACAACTTTTATTGTTTTGGCCTGCATCCTATGTTCATGCCTCATGGTAAAGAGGATAGTTGCTATCCTGATGTCTCTACTCATTGTCAAGAAGATGGGTGTTACCCCAATCGTTAGCAACATCCGCTTGACAAGATTAGACTTTGCTTTCACACCACTTAATGAAGCATAAATGCGAAAATAATAAAAAGGAAAACTATTACATAGCTTGAAAAAAAAAAAAAAAAAGGTTTAGTGATAAATACAAAATAAACAATTGAATAGCTACCAAACTAGTAATAATCTTTATTTTCATAAGAAAAACTAACTATAAGAATGTTTCTACTAATAATTACATTAAGAAATTTAAAAATATTAAAAGAAGTTAATAAAATTAAATAAGAAAACAAATTAAAATAAGATTCTTTTAAATTTGAATTGAGCTAATATTGGCTTGGTCCTTCAGAAGCTGCAATATTAGACACTAGACACAACTAGCCTTCACGCTTGACGTTTGGCCTGGGCGATTACAACTAGCCTTCACGCTTAACCCCAACATTAAGTTGTCGAGGTTTATACCATTTGTGAGTAAGGATGCTATAAGTTTAATTTTATGGCTTTCTTCTTGGGATCCTTGCAAAAGGCCAACAGCTAGCCAAGCCTTGCAGCATCCTTTGTTCAGGAATAATGGGTTTTGGGTTCCGATTCCCTTTTTGGGTGGACCTCCAGGATTTGATGTGCCAAGGAGAGCAGTGAATAACAGTGATAATTTTTCGGATTCAGATGGAAGCCTTGGTCCTCGGAAGCTGCAGTGTGCCGTGCACCTAAAGCCACATTTTATGATGAAGACTAGAGTAGGATTGTAATGCTGATTTAGAAGACAAACTGATATTAGATTGGTAGAAAGTATAACAATAGAGTAATAATTTGAATAGCTTTTTGTTACAAACATTATCAGTTCAAAAAANTGAGACTTGAGAGGGAAACCAGGAGGTGAACGTTGGAACTCGACTTTGATTTTGGGTGCTCGACACGTGTACGTCTTTGATCGAGTTTTTTACTTCCTTATTTGTTCTGATTTTTCTTTTTTGGTTAATCGCTCCTTATTTCATATAATAACAAAATTCGGAAATTCCCCTCAAATTTAAGAAATAATAAAATCTCCCTACCATTAACAAATTGTTAATAAGCTATTAAAAATTATATTATTATAATTTAATAAATTCCTTATTTGTTTTTATTTTTCTTTTTTGGTTAATGGCTCCTTATTTCATATAATAACAAAATTAGGAAATTCCCCTCAAATTTAAAAAATAACAGAAATCTCCATACCATTAATAAATTGTTACTAAGCTATTAAAAATTATGGGTCCCTTTGGTTTATTATTCTGATACTTTTTAGAATAATATTTTGAAAAAAATTAAATTAGATGGGTATTACGTTGTAAGATTTGAAAATTAACAAAAATATCTCATATGTTTGCTTATTTTCTAAACACCCATATAATAAAATATTAAAAATTAACAAAAACACACCAACCCACCCATTAAATATGGACAGCTGGCCACCACCGTCAGAGGGTGGCCAGAGTCACCGTATCGACGCATAACCGGCTGGATCTTGCCAATCGTGGGTCGATATGGCCTTTTCCAGCCAGATCCACGGTGGATCTGGCTGGAAAAGGCCAGATCTAGTCGCATTTGGTCGTCAATGATGACGAAAGATACGGACCAGATCTTTGGCCGT